GGGGGGGGGGGATATTATCTGGGGAAAAGGCTTGTCACTGAAGGGTATATCTGTAAAGAGATACAATTTCTAGAACTAGGATTTAAAGTTAAATTTAACCAGTCATAAGGACTTTCACTCCTGCAACAGAAATTCCAGGGCGCGTGTGAAAATGCAGATTCCTGAGCCCCAGCCGACCCCCAGATTGGATTGGAATCACTAGGGGTGGGTCCTAGGATCCGCGAGGCATCTCTAGCGCCTTTTCACAAACTCTCAAACACAATTTCAGACCCTGTATAGAACAGTATTCCCCGCAGAGAGTGAGCTCAGCTCTCCCAATTAGTTTCAGTTTCCCCTCACCAAGAATCTCCATGGCACTGCATCAGTTTCAGTTTCCGTTTCCACTCCATAAAAGCACAGACCTGAGGGCCAGTGCCCCAGCTGGGCACCTCTTCTTGCCTGCGACCCACAAGCAGAACAGAAAATAAGCCCGGACCGCAGTTTCTCAGGATTACAGGGGAACAGCCATCATGAGGTAAATATGTCTGGCTCTGATAGGAAGTGGAGCATTTCTCACAAATCTTGTTCTGGGGTGCAACTTCCAGAATAATGCTTACTTAGCCTTTGCTTATAGATTAAAGATGCATTGCTCTTTACTTGCTCATGAATCTTTCTTACCAGTTCATGCATTTTTATCTCTGTGGCTCTTTCCGTTTACAGTCAGGCAGCCAAAGGACACTGAGGGAGGTGTTCCCAGCGGCGTCGGCAGCAGGGAAAGGACTGGAGTTTGTTGACAGAACCCAGAGGGATAGCTTGCTTGAATCTTTTCAGGCAAAATCTAGGCAATGAGGACCCGGGCCTGGAGGACAGTCCCTGGAGGTCCTGGTCCCTCTTTTGTTTCTTAAATTTTATAAGACTAACTCAGAGGTTTGTGAGTTCTGTGGTGGGTTGTGGTTATTTTAAAAGCATGCTTGCTTCTCAGCAAAAGTACTAATGACTGACTACTTCAGCTCTCCAAAACTGCAATCTATAAAGAGGTCGCTTCTACCTTGCAGTTTGCTCTTTCAGAATTGGGAAGTAGGTCTCATGGACCTGCCAGACCTCCCCTGTGAACAGGGAGAATGTGTTGTAGTTTCAAACTGTGTTGCAGCTGGCCACTGTAGTAAACCAGAGTACAGAGTACTCTATTAGAATGCAAATTACTGGGCCCAGCATCCTGAATTCCTAATCAGACATAAAGCTTGTGGGGAGGGGATACATGTTTAAAGAGGACCACAGGTACTTCCTAGGCACACTCAATGCTCCCTAACTTATTTGTGTGCAAATGGGAGTTGAGGGAGCCCAAAGTGGGTGGCCAGTAGGAGGGGGTGTTGGGGGGTTAGGAAGGATGTTGTCACAAAGCAAGGCTTGCCTATTTAAGGGCTGTTTTAGGGATGAGAAACCGGTGATTGGAAATTGCTTCCAAAAAGTGATGTCTTCCTGTACCCCTTGCTACTCACATTGTGTGAGTCCAACACCCCCTGAGAGGCTGTTATAAAAGCAGCATCCCAGACCTACTGAACTCAGAAGTGCATTGTAACAAGATCCTCAGTTGATTTGGTCCAAGTGCATGTGAAAGTGTGAGAGGCACTGCTCTGGAGAGTTCCTTGGCTCACTTTTTGAAGGGATGGGCTCCTTGGGTTGTGCCTGTTCTGACCAAATAACTGGGCATGAGTTCTGCCTGTCTCTTTAACAGCATCTGTGGTACAAGCTGCCACGGAGATTTCTCTGGAAACTCATACTCTTACCATTTAAGCAGGGCCTCTTTCAGAAAAATTCAAGATTCTAGTCTGCTAATGACTTTCACCAGGCCCTGCAGGCTGTCTGTCACCATCCAGATAGGTGAGCAGGAGGAGGAAAGACTGTAAATGGGTTGATTCTGTGTGTTTCCTAAGAAGTTGCAGTGCTGCTTTTATCTGCTTTGGTCAGCAAAAGCTCAAGGCTGCAGTTTGAGGCCATGAGAAATCTCTTCCTGGGCCTGAGGGCCTCCCACCTCTCCAGTGTTTTCTGCCAGATACACAGTCTCCAAGTAGGAAGGGCACTCAACTCCCTGAGTTTCACCTGAGCTTAGGCATTCTCTTTGTCACGTGACTGCAGCCATCATCCCACCTGCATGCTTGTCCTCCCTTTAAATATCTGAATTTAATTATTGCTCAGTAATTCATTAAGTTTTATACAGAATAAGTGCGGAGACCTTGGCCAATAGAGTATTGGTATTTAGAAAGGCAATAGTATGTTTTAATTAAGTCAGAACTATCTTCAAATGTTTTATTTTCATCTAAATTTTAACTAAATACTCAGTTAAATATGTTAATGTTATCCTAAATGTGCATTACTTATGAATATGTAAAGAAGCCACTTAACAAATAACAAATATATAATGAAAATCTGAAGGTGAAAAAAGCAGACTATTTCATGTACTTAGACCACATAGAAGAAACAGCGGCAAAAAATGCTCACAAAATTTTTTGAAAATTCAGCTTCATTGAGGTGTAATTGACATATAAAATTGAAAGGATATTTAAAGTGTACATTGTAGTGATTTTATATACATCTACATTGTGAAACAATTCCCTAGCCTATCTAGTTAATTAACACATAAATAACCTCACACATTTATGCTTTTTTTTATTGTTTATTTGTTTTGGTGAGAACTCAAGCTCGACTCTCTCAGCGATTTCAATTGTACAGTGCAGTGTTATTAACCATGGTCACCATTGTTCTACATTAGGGCCTCAGGCCTTATTCATCTCAGAGCTGAAAGCTCGTACCCTTTACCTTCCTCTCCCTCTTTTTCCCACCCTACCCCTGGCAACCACTTTTCTACTCTGTTTCTATGAGTTTGATGATTTTTTTTTTCAGATTCCATACAGTATTTCTTTTTCTCTGCCTGCCTTATTTCTCTTAGCCTAATATCTTCAAGGTCCATCAACGACGTTGCAAAGGGCAGGATTTCCTTCTTTATTATGGCTGGTACAGGTAGCGGGCGTGCAGAGTCTGACCTCGACTGGTTTTTCTGTTGTTTTGTACATTTTCAGCAGGGAAACCGAACTGGATCTTCGGCTTTGTGCCTGTTTCTTACAGGGGAAGAGGCTTTATATAATTGGACATTTTGCTTTTCTTCTCTGAGAATTTTAAGCTTCTTTTGTATTGTTTCTACCTAATTTGTAAACACTCATTTTTACCTGCTTTTTAAAATGCTGCCCTTTTTTAAAAAACTAAAGATGCTCACCTAATGCTGGTGTACATACATACATATATATGTAAATGAGCTCGAGAGAGACATATTTATTATAGTATTTGGCCCACATGATTATGGAGGCTAAGACATGCCGCGATGCACTGTCTGCAAGCTGTAGACCCCGGAAAGTCAACAGCGTGGTTCCAGTCTGAGTCCAAAACCTGAGAACCAGGAGTGCCAGTGGTGTAAGTCCCAGTCTGAGGGAATGTTCCAGTTCAACCAACCAGGCAGAGAGCACAAATTCACCCTTCCTCTGCCCGCCCCACCCAGGCCCTCAACAGGTCGTATTTTGCAGAGGGCAATCTGCTGTGCTCAGTTCACTGATCCAAATGCTAGTTTCTCCTGGGAACGCAGACATGCCCAGAACTAATGTTTAACTAGATGTCCGGGCATCTCATGGCCCAGTCAAGATGACACACATAGTTAACCTGTGACTGCATCACCTGGCGCGATGCTTGACAGATAGATGCTCATTACAGTGACCATGTTTACTTTCTCCACAGTGAAGTCAATAAGAACTCTCTGGAGAAAATCCTCCCACAGCTGAAATGCCATTTCACGTGGAACTTATTTAAGGAAGAAAGTGTCTCCCATGATCTAGAAGACAGAGTGTGTAACCAGATTGAATTTTTAAACACCGAGTTCAAAGCTACTATGTACAACTTGTTGGCCTACATAAAACACCTGCGTGGTCAAAATGAGGCAGCTCTGGAATGCTTACAGCAAGCTGAAAAGTTAATCCAGAAAGAGCACATTGACCAAAAAGAAGTCAGAAGTGTGGTCACCTGGGGAAACTACGCCTGGGTCTACTATCACATGGGCAGACTCTCAGATGCTCAAGTTTATGTAGACAAGGTGAAAGAAGTATGTGAGAAGTTTTCAAATCCTTACAGTATCGAGTATCCTGAGCTTTACTCTGAAGAAGGGTGGACACTGCTACAGTGCGGAACAAAGCAAAATGAAAGGGCGAAGGTATATTTTGAGAAGGCTCTGGAAGAGAAACCCAGCAACCCAGAATTCTCCACTGGGCTGGCAATCGCCATGTACCGTCTGGATGATAAACGACCAAAGCAGTTCTGTGCCAGTGCTCTGAAGCAGGCCGTGGAGCTCAATCCCAACAATCATTATGTCAAAGTTCTCTTGGGCCTGGCATTGCAAAAGATACATAAAGAAGCTGAAGGGGAGCCATTGGTGGTAGAGGCCCTGGAGAAAGCTCCTTGCCAAACAGATGTCCTTCGCAGTGCAGCGAAATTTTACCGGAGAAAAGGTGATCTAGATAAGGCTATTGAACTGTTTCAAAAGGCGTTGGGATCCTTGCCAAATAATGGCTACATCTACTGCCAGATCGCACGCTGCTATTGGGCAAAGGAGAAACAAATTCAGAACACAGAGGACTCTGATGCCCGTAGGAAAAGAGAGAAGGTTGAAGAACTGAGGAAATATGCTATGAACTATTTGAAAAAAGCTGTTGAGAAGGGACTGAATCCTCTGGATGTATATTCTAATTTCAATGACCTGGAAACAGAAGAATATTTTCAGACAGTTTCCAATAAGGCCAAGAGAAAGCAACCCCATCAGCGCTATTCCAACTTTCAGGAGTATCATGGGCAGTCTGAAGACACTCCTGTCCTACATGATTTAAGAGCTTTGACCATCAGCACACTGTCAACTGAGAACGGAGCTGAAAATCACATTCCACAAGACGCACCAAATTCTTGGTATTTCCAAGGGTTAACTCACAAGCAGAATGGAGATCTGCTGCAAGCAGCCGAGTGTTTCGAGAAGGAACTGGGCCGCCTGCTGAGGAACAGCCCTTCTGGCATAAGCAGCTTTTTTCTGCCAGCATCGGAGCTTGAAGAAGGCAGTGAGGCCAGGGTGCAGACAGCTCCGCTCAGTGAGCTGCCCCACGCCTGAGCTGACAGAGAGAGGAGGGAAAGGAGCAGAGGGGAGGGAGCCTGGAATGGTGGTTGTGAGGGGGAGAAGGGTGGGAAGGCAGGAGTTCCCCAATCTGAGCTTGATGAGCAAGGTGGTCTTGCTTATGGCTTTATGATACATTGTTAGAGTTGTTTTCTCATGTCTGTCTCCCTGGTTCCATATCAGCCACACTCAGTTGTCTAGTCTGTAGGTCTTATAATGAATGACAGCTAGGCCCAGCACTTGAGATGTGATTATCTCCCTTTGCACTCGGTTCACCAGAAATCCCCCATATCCACCCTTCTTGCCAAGGGTCATAGCTGGTGACTGCCTGCCAACAGAATCTCACACTCTTCATCCTATTAATATGTAACCTACTGAGCTTCCCAGAAGACTAGCTTTTGACTAACCCTGCAGTATTCCTTACATGTTGCTTGGGACCTCAGACATGTGTATGTATATGTATTTTTGATAGTGATACTACAATAAATGTGTATTGTTGATAGTAATGCTACAATAAATTTCAAAATTTCCACTCAAGATAGAAATAATTGTGTGGTTTGCATGTGTGACTAAGAGTAATATTAATTCCCCAAGTTCCTCTCGTTAGGGATGGTGGATGATTGTTATAGCATGCCATGCTATCCTCAGCATGTCCATTTTAGCTCCTCTTTGGAACTAACACTCTCACCCTGCAGCCAGCCCATCCTAGGACTATGGAACCTATTACTCTCATTGCAGCTCGGGAGCCTCACCTGAGCCCAGTGCCCAATTAGCAGCTTCTGCTGTAGACTGGGGCTGCTGTGTACCCAGGAATACCTCGGCAATTGCTTCCCTGATAAACACCATTTCACAGTCTCCCCCCCCCAACATACATACACACACACACTCACCATGATTATGGAGAAACATTGACTCCAATTTGAGATAATAAACAGAAGAGTTTTGACATCCCTGCTCCTTTCTCTCTGCTAAATTATGTGGAAACATACACACAACTGGGATCTACCAGGAGACAGACCCTTAGTCCAGGTATGCCAGAGAATGATGCTGTGTCCCTAGCCAGTGTTCCCATGGTTTGGAAATCTAAGGGCAACCATTTGTGGAAGGAGAGTCTTACAAGGGAAATCCTCACAAGACATTGGGTAGGTTGTAGAGAGACCCACATTTGGCCAGTCTTTGCCTGTCTTTCCTCTCCTTTGTTCCACCAGATGGAGTTGCATTTCCTAATAGCTGCTGCATTGTTGTTTCCAATGAGAAGTCTAACAAGTCAGCAACGGAAATCCCTAAAATAGTCTGGGTCTAGTGGTTTTTACTAGAAGGACTCACAGGCCTCAACATAGAGTCATACTCATGGCTAGGATCTATGATAACAAAAGGATACAAAGCAGTCAGCACAGGGAAAAGGCACACGAGTCCAAGAACAAAGAAAGCAAGGCGCACGTTTCCCGAAGTCTCTCCCAGTAGGATCATACAATATCTGCTTTATTCCTCCAGCATCAAATGTGACAGCTCTTGTGAAGCTAGTTAGAGATTCCATGGCCAATGGCCTCCTTAGAGACTAGTTACATAGGGACCTCTGTGTAACACATACATTCCAAAAATTCAGACTCCCAGAAGTAAAGCAGGCGTTGGCATTAACCACATCATTTGCCCAAACAATAACCATGCTTATTGGTTAGGGAATGGTGAGAACACTCCAAAAATCCAAGTTCCCAGATGCCAGCTAAGGGTCAACCTTGCAAGTAGGTCTTTCTAAGAATCATGGTCTCTGGCCTAATGCTTTTTCGCACAGTCCATTCCCTTGATCTGTAGTAAAGGTGTCTTTATAGCCAAAGTGTTATTAGTAGGTCCCCACATGACAGGGTGAGATCTTACAGAATTGGCCTCAGTTATGCCCTTTAGGGATCCTGAACTTAGTCATCCTACTAATTAATAAGGTCTGCGTTGGAAGTCCAGGTCACTTCCTCCTTGAGTTTCTGTACTATCCTTTTTACCTGGTGACACAGCACAACTCTGGCCAGTAAACTGACCTGGCCGCCTTCCTGGGCTGAGGCATTATCATGATCATCAGATACACACACAGGAAGTACAATCTCAGAAGACACTCCTGGTGCCCCTGGAAACAGAATTTACAATTGTTTAGGTATCCCAAGCAGGAAATACCTTAGTCAGGCAGTACAGGTTAATAGGCTCCCCAAGTGTGGCCTTATACTGTAGGGCTTCCCTAGGATTTCAGTCCAGTCCAAAATATTCAGTTGAGTCCTTGGTTTTAGAGGGACTGCCTGACATGACAGTTAGTCCCAAACATTTGCCCACCCCTGAAACCAGTTCATCTGCCTCATGAGTGAAGATGACATCTGAGGTTTTCTGGGTGGAAAGTTTAGGAGCTGGCCCCAACCCCACCACCCCATTGCTGTCCCCTGTGCTCACTGGCTCAGCAGTCTGAATTCAAAGCACTAGTATGGGTTGGAAAAGTGGAATGGGCAGATTTCCTTTGGAAAGGAAGGAAAGCTTCCAGGAACAATTCTGAAAAACAAAGATCATTAATGCCTCTCCCCTTCCCTGTGCCTCCCCAAATGAGGTGTTTTTCTTTTTCTTCATTGTTTACAAATCAAACTGTCTCACTCAACAATCGTAACTTTTCTTTCTTTCTTTTTTTTTTTTTCAATTATCCCCTACTCTTTTACCCAGATCTTTCACCAGGACAGGCTATATGCAAGAGGGACAAAAGTGTTTTCACAGGAAAACATTTTATACAACTTAACCAGAAAGAGGCATCATGTTTAGGGATGAGCCAGACAAAATCCTGAATTTTTACAAATTTTCAAAATGGGTTTACATCACTCTCCACCCCTCCATCATGATCATTTACATGGTGAGCCTATAAAAGAGTGACTGTTTTCTGGGGTCATTTGCATTTAACAATCAGAATATGTACCTTATGCAGGTGTGCATACTAGGACAAAGGTCAGGGACATGGAGTCGGGGTTATCAATCTATTCTCACAGACCGCAACTGTTCAGGAAAGTTGAAAGAGCAAGTCAGCAGTGAGAGCCTGGAGAGGGGTCAAGGGTTCAATTCCTCAGGAGTGGGAGGAGAGGCTCACACTTCGGGCAATGTGTCCTCTCCCAACTTGCAGCTTTCAACAAGAAGCACTAGTCAGAAATGCAACTAGCCTCTGTATCATGAGGCCTGTTTTGAGCTGAAAGCATTTGAGAAAAAGCACACACAGGATGAGCTCCCTGCCCTCCCCCACTGCCTGAAAGCAGAAGATAAATTCCCCATGTAAACATCCACCCCACCCCACCCCCTCTGATCCAGTGTCAGGAATGGATAACAGTCTTATTACCAGAGAGGAGATGGCACAGAGAGGAATGTACACAAACAAGCCTTATCTTCCTCTGAGTTTCCATTAATTTCCCCCATATACTTAACTTCCCACAATTTGCAGCCCCTGGAAGCTCAAAGTCTCTACCCTTTGTATTGTCACTTTTCTACAAATGTATTCTCCTTCTGTTAGGATGTTATATAAGCCCAAGTTCTGACCAGCCCTTTGAGTTACTGACCACTGGGTACCTCCAGGAAGAGCACAATGCATGTTATTGGACTTCTGTTTTTCTCTAGTTAAACTGTTTTCTGTCAGTCTAATTTGCAGGGCCCCTGTTGAAGAACCTAAGATAGGGAGAAAAGATTCTTCCCTCTCCTACAATAAAAAAAAAATAGAGAGCTGGCCTGCTACCGTATTTCAGATGGTCAATCAGAGAAATGCCCTTTCCTGTGGGCATTTGTCTGTGCCCCAAGATGATGCACCGGCATCCACGATGCTTTTATAAATTAGGACTTTCCTACATGTGCGAGGGTCCCAGAGTCTGGTTCTGTTCACTGAGTCCTCTTTCAGGTCAGCACAGTGCAAGCTAAGGCTGAAACAGCCCAGCAGCAGTCAGCCCCACCCAGGTTTCAGTTTGCAATCAGTCCCAGGCAGACAGAATGTGCAAATTCCAGATTTCAAGAGTCAGCTGCTTTTCTTCCAGCAGCAGCAAAGCCTAGACAAGGCTAGGCCAGTCACAGTCCAGGTCCCAGAGACAAGCAAGGCTTTCCTAAGCCCTTTCTGTCTTGTCAGCCTTAGAATCCTAATGACGCACTCAAAAATACACACACCAGCCAGGAAATCATCAGCCTCTGAGAGTCAGGCATCTGACCTCAGAAGGGCTCATCAGCAATTAAAACCTGCTTCTTCAAACTCCAAAGTAGTGTCTCTGCCTGGAGATCGCTTCTCTTTTCAAGCGGTCTCCCTTTTCCCAGAGGGTCCAAAGGTGAACACCATAGCAAAAAATCATGAGTTATGAGGACTTGTTCTGTTTCCAATACTCAAAAACTTTGAATTCCAACCTCTGCACAAGCTACAAAAAGCAAGAAAGTGGAGAAAGAATATATGGAAAGATGGTGGCAGACTGAGTGGAAGCTACACTGACACTCCCAGGATCAAACTGGAATTACAACTAAAATATAGAAAACCATCCTGAATAATCAGCTGCAACTGAAGACAAGCTGGAGAACACCAAGGAGGAAAAGTGGAAACCGCATAGAGACTGGTAGGAGGTGCGGAGGCACGAGAGGGCTGGCTGGGCTCCCACAGGGAGCAGCTGAAGGTCCAGAGGGAGATCTCGGCTGTCGGGGGCTCCCACTGAGGACTCCGGGGCCTAAACCCCAGGCTGGGCTTCCCGGACAAGAGCATCAGAACTGAAAAAGGTGCCCACATAAGATCTGGCTGTGAAAAGCAGCTAGGTTTCTGTCTACCAGGGAGAGTCGGTGTTCTTCTAACATGGGGGTGAGGGAATCCAAGACCACTCTTAGGTTTGCTCATTTGCTAAAAAGTCTGACAGACTCAGCACATAGTAATAATCATCGGTACGATGTATTACACTGTAAGGGAGAAAAATTATTTTCCTCTACCTTCCTATCACTGAACCAGCTCTGTGCCTGGGGCTGACCCTGCCCCAGCATGGTTCCAGATCTTTCTCGTGTCAGGTGATCTCCAGGCTCTTGATTCGCCCAGGAAAGATTTCAAGAACAAATGGGAGTAAGAACAAGTGGAAGTGAGAACAAAAAGCAAGTTTTATTCAGGTAGAGCAAAAGAAAGAGGCTAGGATGCGGGTTCCTGGAGACAGGATCAGGGTTTGAGCTTGAGATTGGCTGCCGCTGCCCGCTGCCCCCTTGGTTGCAAGTCTCACGGGGCACCACTGTTGAAGAAGGAAAAGTGCACATCTGGGTGGACATGGGTGAACCCCTAAGTGAGTTGTGTGTATGGTCAGTCAGTTCCTGGGGTTTTTCCATCTTCCTAGTTTTTTAACTTTGTGGTGCCAAATTCTGTCTCTGCCTTCTGGTTGGGAGGGGCCTTGTTTCTAATACGGCTCATTGGGGAAGTGTCATGATGTTCACCCTCTTAGGCCCCCCTTCTACTTGTGTCAGTTTTCATTACAATGATGGTATAGCAAGCTTTGGGGTTGGTCTCTGGTCAATTTTTCCTCCACCTTGGATTGATCTGGTTTTAGCCATTCTTTGTTCTTGTTGACTTCTGCAAGGACCATGGTAGTTTCCTGCCATAAGCTGTTTCCCTTTGATCATGGTGGAGGCAGGGGCTCAGGTGAGAGGATCTAGTGGCTTAGTGGTGTCCCTTCATACTTCTTCATTCCACTTGTCAGGATTTGTCCCTAATTCTTTCTACCCTGCGGTGTTCCCAGATTCTCAGTTTGGATTCCCAGATTGTCAGCACATTAAACTGACAAAGAAAGATTAGCAAGAGAAAAACAAGCAGAAATTTGTTCAGTATCCTGGCAGAACTCAGTGATGAGTAATTCAAAGGAGTGGAGAGAACTTTGGCTTTTAGATCATTAGTATAGGGGAGGAAAAGTCTTTTTCCCCTTCACCCCTAGATTCAATGGCTAGGTCCATGAATCAAACCTATAAGAAACAGATTAACAGGAGAAAAAGTAGTTTTTGGTTTTAAAATATATCTTTATTGATTTCAGAGAGAGGAAAGGAGAGGGAGAGAGAGATAGAAACATCAATGATGAGAATCATTGATCGGCTGCCTCCTGCACACCCCCTACTAAGGATGGAGCCTCAACCTGGGCATGTGCCCTGACCAGGAATCGAACCGTAACCTCCTGGTTCATGTGTTGATGCTCAACCACTTAGGCACACTGGCAGGGCCAATTGCCATTTTCTTAATGAAACTTTCCCTCACCTACATATTTATAATAGCAAAACTCCTTGACTTCAACCTTCAGATTTATTAAATTTAACCGGTAGAAAACTATTTGAGTGGGGATATTGTCCTTTTCTTGTAAACAAGGTGTGACTGCATGCTGAAATATTTTATCAATCGTACTGACTGCCTTCTTATGCAACAACAAAAAGTAAATTGAAGGATAGAGAAACTGATGGGTGAATAGATATGTAATAAAGCAAATTAGTAAAAAGTTATTGTAGAAATGTGGTGAGTATATTAGTGTTTGTTGTAAAATTCCCTCACCTTCTCTCTGTTTGATGATGTTCATAATAAAATGTTAGGATGAAAAGGCCAAAACAATATCTAAAAAATAAATCAAAATGAGGCAAATAGACCAAAATATGCATGGGATAAAACCACATAGAAAGGAAATATTCCAGGTGATTTTTTTCATATACTATAATTTGATTCTACATCTGTAGAAGAATATATCTGATAGACAAAAATAAACCCAGCAAAAAAGTGTTAAACTCCACCTGAGTTTCTCATGAGGGTGTTTTGTTGATTTTGCTATTCTGAGACTATTGTTAGTGTATTGTGTAATAGAGCATACGAATGTTGGTATCACTTAGAAAAGAGATACTCAGTTTGGCAGAAAAAATTACACAGATGTTATTACCTAAGATCAACTAGGTTACGTAAAATCTTGTAAACTTGAATTTATAAGACGAGCTCATGATATATTTTATCTTTAAAATATACACACAGTACCAATGTCATTTCCTGATTGACATGGTTCAGTACTTACGTAAAATGTTGCTCTTAGGAGGCCAAATGTGGGAAAAATACTCAAGAATCTTCCTGCCACTTCCTGTGAGTCTATAACTGTTTCAGAATAAGCTTGAAATGTAGAAAAAGAAATGATAAAAATTCAGTTAGTACTTGAATATGTTGCAGTAAATCAAACTGTGGGTCAAGGTGGGCTGCATGGAAGATGGGAAGACCCATGAGAATGTATGAAAATCATCAGACCATTCATAACAAAGGACTTCTGGAGTCTTTGAGGCCATGGATGTGATCGGAGGTACTTAGGGATAATCTCAAAAGCTAAGTGCATAGTTTCTATATAGTGGTCAAAACACTCAGGATTCCATTCTTTTTCCATCTCACCCTGTGGATCAAGAAGAGACACTGTGCAGCTGAGAAAGAAGGAAGAGTGATGAAGATACTGAATCTGGGCCTCACAGAAACGGATGTCCAAGAATTGAGTTCCAGGTCACTCATTCAGGGAATTTCAATCACAGAACAGACACCAGAGATCATCATAGCCCTGGTTCCAGCCCTCATGTACTTCAGAATCACCTGAGGATTTCTCTTTAATATTGAAGTTGGGGGCCCATTCCCAGAGATGAATTCAATTGGTCTGGGATGGGGCCTAGTTAGCATTACTCTTAAAACCTCCCTAGATAATTCTAGTGTGCAGTAAGAAGTTGAGAACTGATCATCTATTCCAAATCAGTTATTTATCACATCTAGAAAATGAGGCTCATAGAGGTGAAGTGGCTTATCATTACCTGTCAGCCACTCAGGGAGTGGGTCCTAGCTAGACTCCTGGGAACGGAATCAGCCGAATGCTGAAATTTCATTTTCTAAAAGTTTCATTTTCTCCAGTTCTTGTTACCTTTTCTAACTGTAAATACACACACACACACATTTCCTTTGTTTTTTTCTCTCTAATGCTTGGCTAGTCCCAGTAAAGGTGATTCGCTTGTCCATTCGAGGAGACACCACTTTGGGAGATGTCCCCAGTGCTCTCCTTACTTGCTGCAAGTAATAAACGCCCTTTGCTCGTATACTGTCTTGGTTGAGATACGCTCACCAAGAGACGAACCCTTTATGTTCAGTCACAATGTCACAATGAAAGATTTTAGATTTGATAAGGGCTGAGATGAGAGATGAACTCGGCAGGAAGGATTGAGTAGAAACCTTTTAGATCTGGCAGTGTGTCCGATTAAGTGTTTCTAAGAGGAAAATATTCTTACAGCTGTTCCTCTTCTGTTTATTATTTTAAAAGACACATTATAGGTAGCTTTAAAAAAAAAAAAAGCATTACTTTAACTTGATGACTTAAAAGCACCATCATCATCACCTCTATTTGCATGCTTCTATGTGCCAGGTAGTTGCTAATGTTTAAGCTCAAGTTTTATGAACTATAGTTAATTATAAGTTAGAATCTGACTCAGTATGTGGGTATCCGTGTGGGAGCAATAGAGGGCTCTCTATGCCAAACCACAGCACTTTACCTTTACCTCCTCCCCAAGTGATCAGAGATTAAGAGATTCTCTTGGTATTTGGCTTATTTCCTTCATTCCTGAACCAGGTGGATTATTGCTTTCTTTCAAGCTGAAGCCCAAAGTAACAGTATCCTGGTCACTTAATTAGGAGTGTGGTTTTTTTAATTATTATATATTTATATTATAGTAGATTCCTTCCATATACAGGAGACTAACTGAAAATGGGGCTACCTCCCTCAATTCTTCCTTTTTTCATCAGGAATCCAGCCACCAAATTCCATCAAGAGCAACAATGGGCTGAAGTTCTCCTGTAGGGTCTGAGGCAGATCTGGTTCCAAACCCTGGCCAGTTACTGCATTTTTGCAGCACTAGAAACACTCCTCAATATGGCCCCAGGTCCAGTCATTGGTAATCTGACTTCATACAACTCAGAACTCACCTGGAAACCTCATATGACACACACATGGTCCTTGCCCCTTGACTCTTAATGGTGGATGAGAGATACCATGAGAACTTTCCATCTCTTGGCTGAAATTCTCTATTTTCCTCTGCTCAATCACCTGATAGTCTTCCCTGTGACTAAGTTTCCCTTGTTTTTATTATTTTCAGGCCACACAGAAAAACATGCTGACAATGGTAACCAACTATATATGCTTCAGGTCCAACACTTCCCAGTGTCAGCTTCCCAGCGAAGCAAGTCTAATTGACTGCTCTCAGTAAGCACCTCTCCATGATTAAATAAACTGAGGTTAGAGATAAGTTTGCTTTGCAAACCTGCTGGGGAATAACCACTTTTCTACAGGAATCAGGAGAGTGAGGCAACTTCCAATGAAAAACAGGGAGAAAAGGGAGCTTGGCAGACACCAATAATAGGAGACTAACCTATTAGAAGGCACCAAGAGGACTGGACAATGCTCTTGCATAGGTGTGACAATCATGTCTGGTGAGTAAGAACACATTAGATCACTACAACAGAGAGCATTAAAAACAAGAAAATATTGTCATTCAGCATTAACATGTTTTGTTTAAAGTCTCAAGATGGTAGCACATACATTTTCCCTGTTCCTGTGTACAAAAAAGAGGTTACAGGCCACTTATTGTTAAGGGTATGCAAAGCCAGAGAATAATTAGTAAGCCACAAGCTCTCAGAAAATAAGGGCAAAGTTGGGTTAAGACTCCAGTTTAGAGATTTGCAGAATTTTATACCATAAAATGAGCAATTGCTGTTTCCAGATGACTCCCAGGTTTCTATAAGGCCAGGTATATACTCTGAGAGAGAAATTCGCACATCACTGAATATTCTTCACCGTCTTATCCTCAATCCGTTTTCAAAGCAAAACAAAGCAAGCACTGGCTATTTTAGTTTCCTTTTCCTCCTGCAGAGAGAGCTCTGCCGCTTCAGTTTCCCTTTTCAGTTTCACTTTCCAGTTTCAGTTTTCACCTCGCTTTTCAAGTTGTTCTCGCAAGAACACACCCACAGTTTACCTTCTTGGTCAGCTGTTTAGCCTTCCTTATATAGCCCTGTTCTGGGGCTAAATTCACCTGAAATCCACAGGACAGGCGGGACAGACTCAGAGGAGCCCAGGCTGCTAACCAGACCCTGCGAGCGGCTGCCTAACTCACAGCAACCATGGGGTAAGGATTTCTCTGCTTCGCTGCCTTTCTGCCTAAAGTTTTTGAAAAAAGCTGAGGGAGTTAATCATTACTCCCTCAACAGACCTAGTTTCAGAGATGCCACTCTTCTGTTTGTCTGCTTGTGGACTGAGTGTGTGTGTGTGTGCACGCTAACATTCCTGCACACAGATAAACTGTTTTATTAATTCAGGCATTTTCAGTTTTGTTCGCATCGCCCCGAGGAAGCTTATCTCATGTTAAAGTCCAAAGAGGAGGGAAATAGGAAAGGAATTTTGCATGGAGAAGATGATCCCAAGCTCGGAAATTATTTTCCACCAAACTCACAGAGGGAGAGGATGGGCAGTTTGTCTGGGTGGAGACACTGATTTTAGCTGGCTCCTCACAGTGGAGGAAACGTAGGACCTACACAGCTGTGTGAGCCGTTGGGAGGTCTCTCAGATGTCTTGAGGGAAATACTGTGGGAAGGTGATGGGAGAAGCTCACCGCCTAGAAAGCAAGGCCTTCCTCTGTAGGCTTCTGGTCTCACTACCTGCACTGCTGAGCTCCTGTGTCCGGCCTTCTTGGTCCAACTGGATCTAGGATGAGCAGATTACCTCTCCCCTGGGGAAGCCAGGTGGTCTGCAGGTCCTTGATGGTCTCCTGTCCATGGGGCTTGGCTGGAGTCCTGCGCTGGGGAACATCCATGTTTTCTTTAGCTAAAGGTGGGAATTTCTATATTGTCCAAACTGAATCTAGATTCAAACAATCCCTGATATCATCAGATTTTTTAAAAAGACATTAATCAAATTTCCCCTCAGTGCTCCAATGGGTAAAATTTTGAAGGGGCAAAAATTCCATTAAATGCACAATTATTGGCCTTTAATCAATCCTTCCTTTGGTCCACACACAGAGTGGTTATCACTACTAATTCTTACTATTATAAAAGTAGCCATCACTTCCTAAATGTTTATTAAGTGCCACTTGGCTTTTAAAATTATTGTGTAAATTATTGCATTTAACCCTCAAATGAAACTGTGAGGCAGGTACTTAATACTGATTGTGCAATAATGTATCTTAGATTTAAAAATGTTAGGATCACACAGGTAATAAGTGATACAGTAGAGACATGAATCAGAATCTCTATTCAATGACACCTTATTTAACCTTTAAACCAGTGTTTCTCAAAGGGTACCAATGGGGGTTTAGGAGATAATTTCAGATGGTCTACTAATTAGCTTTTATGTATTAATATTTTTGTGTTTATTTCAACATGTACTAGAAAAAATATACATATATAATTTGAAGAATTTTTATTCACATTAGTAATATGGTTTTTTATTGTGATAAAATACATGTAAGATAAAATTTATTTTACTTAATTTTGAGTGTACCATTTTGCAGCCTTTAGTACATTTGCAATGTTGTGCAACTATCACCAGTATCTACTTCAAGAAAATTTTCATAATTCTGAGGGGAAACTCCATACCCATTAGGCAGTCACTCCCCACTCATCCTTTGACCCAGGCCCTGGCAACCATTTATCTGCTTTCTGTCTCTATGGATTTGCCTGTTGTGGATATTTCATATAAATGAAAACAAACACTATGTGGCCTTTTGTGACTGGCTTATTTCAATTAGCATAATGTCTTCAAGATTCATCGATATTGTAGCATGTATCAAAATGCCCTTCCTTTTTAAGATGAAATAATATTCCATTGTATGTATATTACAATTACATTAAAATAAACCACATTTTGTTTATCCGCTCATCCATTGATGAGCACTTGCTTTGCTACCACCTATTATGAATAATGCTGCTATGAATACGAATATACAAATATCTGTTCCCCTTCCTGTTTTTCCTTATTTTGAGCATATACCCAGAAGTGGAATTGCTGAATCATATGGGAATTATATGCTTAACTTTTTGAGGAATCACCACCATTTTCCACAGCAGCTGCCCCATTTTACATTCCCACTATGCACAAGGGTTCTAACTTCTCTATATCCTCACCAACACTTGTTATGTGCCCTGACCGGGAACCCAGGCTCGATCTCCTGGATCATAGGTTGATGCCCAACCACTGAGCCACGCCAGCCGGGCAAAAGTTTTAGATTTTCATGATGTCCAACTTACCTATTTTTACTTTTGTTTCCTGTGCTTTTGGTATCATATTTAAGAAATCATTGCCAAGTACAATGTCATGGAGCTTTTTCCCTATGTTTTCTTCTAAGGTCTTCCTAGTTTAGGTCTTACATTTAGGTTTTTGATCCCTTTCAAGTTCCTGTTTTTTTGTATATGCTATAAAAGTAATGGTTCAATTTCATTCTTTTGCATGTGGATATCCAGTTTTCCCAACACATTTGTTGAAACACCGATCTTTCCCCATTAAATGGTCTTGGCACTTGTATCAAAAACCATTTGACCTTGTTATGGACTGAATTGTGTCCCCCACATATTTTGAGGTCCTAACCCCCAATGTGACTATATCTGAAAATAGGGCCTGTAAGAAAGGTTAAGTGAGGCCATAAAATTGGATTCTTAATCCAATAGGGCTGATGTCCTTATAAGAAAAAAAGAGCACTTTTTTTCTTTCTCCATGCACCATGAAGGAAAGGCCGTGTGCAGAGGCCAGAAAGAGAGCTCTTACTAGGAACTGAATCAGTGGGCACCTTCATCTAAGACTTCTAGCCTCCAGAACTACGAGAAAATAAATTTCTTTTGTTTAAGCCACCTCATCTATGGTACATGGTAGCCATCGCTGACTAATACAACCATATATATGAGGTTTTACTTCTGGGCTGTCTATTCTATTCCACCTATATATATGTCTGTCTTTATGCCAGTACCAACCACAGTTTTGATTACTGTAGCTTTGTAGTAAGTTTTGAAATCAGAAAGTGTTAGACCTCTAACTTTGTTCTTTTTCAAGATTGTTTTGGCTATTTGAGACCCTTTGAGATTCCATATGAACTTTAAGATGGATTTTTCTATTTCTGCAAAAAAAAAAAAAAATCATTGAGATTTTGATAGGGATTACATTGAACCTATAGATTGCTTTGGGTGGTATGTACATCTGAACAGTTTAAGTCTTCCAATCTATATGCAAGATGCCTTTCCCTTTATTTGTGTCTTCTGTAATTTTCTGCAGCAATGTTTTTTAGTTTTCAGTGTATAAGTCTTTTACCTCCTTGCAAAAGTTTATTCCTAAGTATTTTATTCTTTTTTATGCTATTGTAAATAGGACTGTTTCCTTTTTAGATTGTTCTTGCTAGTGTATAGAAACAAAACTGATTTTTTACATGTTTATTTTGTATACTACAATTTTGCTAAAATTGTTTATTCTAACAATTTTTGTGTGTGCAATATTTAGGACTATCTATAGATACGATCATATTATTTTTGAATAGAGATAAATTTTACTACTTCCTTTCCAATTCAGATGTATTTTATTTCTTTTTCTTAACCAACTGCTCTGGTTAGGACTTCCAGTACTCTATTGAAAAGAAGGGACTAAAACAAGCATTCTTACCTTATCCTGATCTTACAGCAGAAGCTTTCAGTCTCACCATTAGTGTGATACTAGCTGTGGATTTTCAATATATGGCCTTTATTATGTTGAGGTAGTTTCCTTCCATTCTAGTTTTTTGAGTCTTTTTATCATGAAAGGGTGATAGATTTTGTCAAATGCTTTCTCTACATCAACTGAGGTGATGATGTGTTTGTTTTTTTCTTTCATTCTGTTAATGTGGTGCATTAAATTGGTTGATTTTCATACATTGAACCATTCTTGCATTCTAGGAATAAAGCCCACTTGGTTAGGGCGTATAATCCTTTTACCTAGCTGTTAACTTCAGTGTGCCAGTATTTGTTTTTTCTTTTAATCTTTGTTTGGCTTTGGTATCAGAGTAATGCTGGCCTCATAGACTTCGTGAGTGTGAAAGTGTAGTGTTCTTCCTATTTAATTTTTTTCGGAGAGTTTAAGAATTGGTGTTAATTCTTTTTATGAGAAGTCTAACTCCTGATTTAAAATCTACATGCTTAGCAAATCGCATCAAACTCCATGCAGATTTTAGATGCC